TTGCTTTGTTTCTTCTTCCATTTCCTGCCTTTTTTGGTTTGTTTCATCTTCCATTTCTTTCATTTATTGGTTTGTTTTTTCTTCCATTTCTTTGAGCGATTTTCCTATATCCTCTTCTAGGGCCTCTATCATTTTCATGAAAGTGGTTTTAAGGTCGTTCCATTCATTCGCATTGGAATGTTGGAGTCTTGCTGGTGTGGAATCTCTAGAATCTGGTGGTGTCATAATTGTTTTTCTGTTGCTGAGTGGAGCATCCACTTTTTAAATCAGTATGGAGATTCCTCAGGAAAATGGGAATCAATCTGCCACAAGACCCAGCAATTCCACTCTTAGGCATATATCCAAAAGATGTCCATTCATACCACAAGGATAATGTTCATAGCAGCATTATTTGTAATAACCAGAACCTGGAAGCAACCTAAATGGCCCTCAACTGAAGAGTGGATAGAGAAAATGTGGTCCATTTACACAATGGAGTAATACTCAGCAGAAAAAAACAATAGAATCTTGAAATTTGCAGGTAAATGGATGGCACTGGAAGAAACCATCCTGAATGAGGTAACCCAGTCACAAAAAGACAAACATGGTATGTGCTCACTCATATATGGATATTAGACATGGATCAGGATAGTGCCAGTCTGCACTTCCACTGACAAAAAAGTCTGGGAAACAGGAAAGAACCTAAGATAGATATGCATGGTACCCCATAGAAGAGGAATGAGGCAAGATCTTCTGAACAGATTGGGAACACGATGAGGGGTGGGGGTGAGTGGGAACTGGGAAGAAGATAGGGGGGAAGAAGAAGAGTTAGTAGCTCATGGGGAAATAGCAAGGCTGAGTGGGGGGTAGAATAGGGCAAAAAGGGAATCATAGGTTAGAAGACAGATCTGGCACCAGTGAGACCTCTAGTGCTCTAAAGGGATGACACCCACTGGCAAGCTAAGCAATAGTGGAGAGACCACTATTCCTGATAATTAACTTGATGCCTATAGCCATCCTAGAACCTTCATCTAGTGACTGATGGAAGCAGAGGCAAATACCCACAGTTAAACACTGAACTGAACTCATGGAAACCAGTGACAGAGAGAGAGGAGTGATGAGCAAATTGGCAAAGAATGGGCTTGCAAAACCAGTAGAGACAGCTGATCTGAACAAAGGGGAAGATCTTGGACCCCAGACTGACAGCTGGGAGGCCAGCATGGGACTGATCCTGACCCCCTGATTGTGAGACTCATTAAGGAGGCCTCGGCAACCTATGGAGCCCTGGGTAGTGGATCAGTGTTTGTCCCTGTCATACAAACAGACATCATGTGTCCATAACAAAAGAGGGATGCTCTCTCAGCCTGGACTCTTAGAGGAGTGCCTGGACCCTGCCCTGAGTGAAATGACAGATTCTAGATATCCCCTATATGGAAAGAAGTGGGGATAGGGTGGGACCCTGGGTGGGATTGTGGGGGGTGAGGGAGGAGGGGAGGAAGATGGAACTGGGATTGACATGTGAAGCAAGCTATTTAAAATTAAAGTAATAAAAAAGAAAAGAAAAGAATAAAAAATAAAACCCTCACTGATAAATTAAATGGAGAAACAAATTCAGCATTGCATTTTCAGGTTAAAAAGGAATACCCTAAGGTCGTAGGTGAATCCCCTTTAATCTATCCAATAACCTTAAAGGAGGTGTCAGACGAATGAGACTCTACATGAGCTACTTGGAAGTCTGTGACAATGTTAAATTTAGGAAAATTCAAAGAAGTTGTAATCTCATGAATTCACCATTGGTGAAGCCAATTATAAACACATGATATGACTTTAATAGGGTTAACCAGGTAGACTGGATAGATTTGATTAAAGGTGTCCTAGAGCCTGGACCACAAATACAATGGTTCAAAGAAGAGAGTAAGAATATTGAACAAAAGTCTAAAGGTAGAGTTGTAGATGTGTCCCAAGATCAAATTCTTGGAGAAGGAGATTATACTGCTTTAGAAAGGCCTAATCAATATGATTATATTCTCTTGTGTTTAATCCATGCTTCAGTTTTGAATGCTTGCCACAAAACAGGAGAATCAGGAAAGAAAATGGAATCATTTACAAAAGTCATACAAGGCCCAAAAGAAGCATTCTTGGATTTCTTACAAAGAGTGTCATTACCAGTCAATAGAATGATATCAGACTCATGCTAGAAAAATAATAATTGAAATAATGACTTTTGAAAATGCTAATGGCCAATGTGAAGAGCCCCAACAGTTAGCCCCCTAATAGTTGAAAATTACTAAGCTGTCCCATCCTTGGATGTGAGCAGCTACACTTAAACATCTTCCCCTGGTGGTCTTCAAGGACTTGAAAATATTTCCCAGACCTCAGTCCTCAAGGACTTGGGAACATTCCCCAGACCTCAAGGTTCCAGACCGGTCGCAACGTTCAGCCAGGTCACAGATGTTGCCTCAGACAGATAATGAGCCAGTCAGTCAGACAGCCACAGACGTACGTGATTCATGAAGGTCTGGCACCAACTTCCAAACTCCCCTTGTATCCCCACCACCCTGTTTGCAGTTTTAGGCTTTAAAAACTTGCTGTAATTTCTGCTCGGGGTTTGCTCCTTCCCAGAGCTGCTGAACCCCGTCATGCTGGCTTAATAAAAATCCTCTTGCATTTTGCAGCAAACTTCCGATCCCTGGTGGTCTTTGGGGAGAGGGTCCTGAGAGAAAGAATGAAGGGTCTTTCAAATGCAGAAGGATAATCAGGCCTCTAAAAGGAATATTAGCACCTACAGTGGATTTTATCGAAGACAATTAATATTCAAACTTATGATAATGTTACATGGTGGTTTCAAGAGGATTAAGGAAAAAACAAAATGTCAAATATTTTCATTGTGACAGACAGGGACACTTGAAAATGAACTGTAAACATGGCATTTCTAAAAACAATTTTTAAAAAAATATAACCCAAATAACAAACCCCTCTCCACTACTTTATGCAAAAAGTGACAAAGACACATGTTGGATAAAGGAATGTAGGTTGACCACACATTATAAAGATAATCCTTTGCCTTTGTGGACCACTAAAAGCCCCTATACCAAACCAGTTCATTTGTTTCCTGCCACTATGGATAAAACTCGTTACTATAACAATAAAATAACCTAATGCATATTGAAATAAAACATATTATTGTGGATTATGGAAGGGCTTTACAAGCTCAAAAAAAACTTTAAAAGTCATAGATCAAAATTCATAAGGATTAGACTAGGAATGTAACAAAAGTTAGGGTTTGGGAAGTAAAAGTCATAGATCAAAATTCATAAGGGTTAGACTAGGAATGTAACAAAAGTTAGGGTTTCGGAAGTATCTTGTTTTTGTCTTTCCAGAAAAATAAAAACAACCATTTTGAAGAAATTAAGACCTTTGGACAAATAAGCATCCAAAGAAGTATAGATAGGATAAGATAGAAAGGTAGATTAATAAATGTATTTTTTTTTTTTTTTTTTTTTTTTATTAATATTTTTTTATTTTCCATTTTAAATTTAGATAAGAAACAAGGTTGCTTCACAAGTCAGTACGAGGTCCCTCTCCCTTTCCCTCCCCTCCTCCCGTGCCCTCCCCCCATCCCCCCCCCCGTTATCCCCTCATTCCCCCAGGGAGGGTGAGGCCCTCCATGGGGGTGTCCATAGTCTGTCATTTCATATAGGGCAGGGCCTAGACCCTTCCCCAAGAGTTCAGGGTGAGAGTGCACCTCACATTGTTCTATGGGAGTCCAGAGACCGTGTGTATACTTGGGATGGGTACTGATCTGCTGTCCAAGGCTCAATAGATTACCTAGGCCTCCTCACTGACACCCAGATTCAGGGGGTCTTGATCAGTCCCATGCTAGTTCAAAGTTCTACTTCACAGGAATGTCTGTCAGAGATACTAGGCTTTTAGGTGGCATATGGTTGCCCCAACACAGTAGAGGAACCTTGGGTGACTGTCCAGGCAGTTAGGACTTTTTGTAATTTCTTGCATTTGTTTTGAAGTAGCTTGATCACACATCCTATTTACATGGTTAAATATTTCTTTCTTGGGTCTCTGAGGAAGATGAAGACTACATTGTTTAGTTATAGTTTTCATTGTTTACCAGACTCAGAAAAGAAACTGGTAAAGATATGTGAATTGCAAATGGTTTGAGAGACATTAACAAATACTTAGATACTGCAAAATAAAAATAAGGTAAAATAGGTACAAGAATCTAGATCACTAAGATAGAATGAGTAATGAAGTATTTTCTCTTAATTTGTCAAATTAAAATGGACTGGACATTTTCTAAAAATTTGTTAAATGAAAACAGACTAGACATTTTCTGGAAATTTGACAAATAAAAATGGACTACGCATAGCTGAATAACCTTTGCCTGCATGTGTTATATATACTTATTGTAGTATTTATGTAGAGTTTTTGTTATGTTAGTTATACCTATACCAGACTCCTTTTCGATTTAGACACAAAAAGGGAATTGTAGTGATATATTATTTGAGGTTTATCAAAGTTTGCTTGAGGATTCACCCAAATGTTTGGAATTCACTAACACACGTTAATCCAAACAACAAGAGCACAGGAGGGAGTGGTACACACCTTTAATCCTAATACTAAATAGTAAGGGATTAATGCCACCCAGATCTATACAAGAATGAATCAGGCTAAAAGAGATTATATTTCACACCTTTAATCCCAAAATTAGGGAAGTATATAAGACAGGGGATAGGCTTCAGACAGGCATTCCTACTCCAACCACACAAAGGAGAGGCAGCAGATTGAAACTTGGTAACGAGCACCAGCATGAATCAGCATTTTAGCCTGAGATACAGGTAGGAGTTAGGGGTTGGCTGGCTGCTTTGATTCTGAAACTTAAAGCACGAATCTCAATTTCCTTCTCTGGTTCATTTGTTAATTTGTGTTACATGTCTCATAATCTATTGTATGTCTCCTTTGATAGGAATTGCATGCATTCTTACAAGAGGATAACAGACATCAAGTAAAGGACAAACAAACTGCAAGCAAAGCACCCTGAGAGTTTGGGTCAAGAGGACACACTCTGAATTCTAAGAGCCTGGGTAAAGAAGCTGAAGCAAGAACTCTAGGAGTGGGGCAGTACCCTTTCAAGGGCAAGGCATACATAACCCTAGTCTCTGAAGCCCTGCCCACGTCTGGCCAAGCTTTATCAAAGGAGACTGTAGAGCTCAGGACCTGAGTTCATTTCTCCCACTCCACAGTCATAAGCCCTTGAATTTGTGAGGCCCTACCCTCCAGCTGATATTTTGAGTCTTATTTGGTCAACCTTCAAGGAGACGAGTAGCTCCTCCATTTGAGTGTCCACGAGGACTTGAAGCTCTCATGGCTGAAAACGAGTTCACCAAGATGTCATCATTTCCCCAAACAACTGAGGAACTTTCAAACTTTTTACAGGGTTTCTTTGATGTCAGTGAGGGACAGGACATAACCTCAAGTGATTTCCACCAAGAACCATGCTTTCCTCAGCCTGTCAAAGATATGCTAGTGTATAGAGATATGATGTTGTCTCCTGAGGAATATCAGCCTTTTAAAGGGTACCAGGTGACAAACCATGAAGACCAGATAAACCACTATGGACAGATGAGTTTGTTCAGCAGTAGCAGTCAGGAAAATATCCTGGGTGGTGAGTACACTCCCAGTGGGTATCAGACATCTGCTTACATAGGCAACCAGGATCTCTGTATGGATACTCCAAAGACTAGTCCAGCTGGTAGCCAGCCTATCTATGACTGTGAGATGGAACCTACTGGACTTGACTTGACTCATCTATGGAGCAGGAATACAACATTCAATACAGAAGCCAACTTGTCTCACTATCAGGAAGCAACTGCCAGTATTGAAGATCCTTCCTACTTGTGTCAGATGAAGACAGCCTCTGTAGATGAGAATTTCTTCTCAAGTCAAAAGCCATTACCCAATAGTGAAGGAAGTCACAGTTCTCAGATGACTTCATCTGCTAACCAAACCCCATATGTGGGCCTATCCATGCATCCCTCCAGTTCCTCTGTGAGTCAAAGTCAAGCTCTGGATCACTTTTCAGTTTCTACTTCTGTCCAGGGACAGCTTCCTCAAGAGAAATCAGACTTGGAGCCTGACAGCCATGTGACCCAGGAGAAGCCTCCCACTTTGAAGTTCTTCTTCTGTCCCTACAAGGATTGTGAGAAATCTTACAAAAAGTCTTACCATCTTAAAGACCACATCAAGAAACACTGTGGAGAGAAGTCCTTTGTGTGCAATGAGCCTGGATGTCAGTGGAGATTTTTCTGCTCAGAAGATCTCCGAAGACACCAGAGAAAGCACAGTGGGGAGTGTCTCTTTCCTTGCTACAAGTGCAGCAAGAATTTTTCCAGACTGAATTACCTCAAGCAACATCAGAAAATCTGTACTCAAGCTCTACCTAGCCCTGGAAACTGACTGTCCACAAGCAATATATTCATGAATAACACTATTTTTTTCTATCCAAAATAATGCCAAAATCAACTGTTTGCTAATATTGCTTGGAGATGGTAACAAAATAAATGTTGAGAATATGAAAGTTTACCAAATGATCTAAAGAGCCATTATTTTGTATAAAGGGAGCTCCTAATGTTACCTTTTCAGAGACATCTTTAAGCATGTTAGACATTTCATGGTTAGGGGAGAATCCTGATGTCAGGGAAACTCCTAATATTCACAAGAATAGTCACAATTAAGGGTCCTAGCGATAGTGGAGAGGGTGCCTGAACTGGTCAGCTACTCTAATCAGGTTGGTGACTACCATCATTGTAGACTAATGGATAGAAGCAGATGCAGAGATCCACAGCTGAGCACTTGGAGTCCTCTTAAAGAAAGGGAGGAGGGATTGTACAAGCTAGGTGGGTCAAGGTCATATCGGCGGGACCCAAAGAGACAGCTTACATGAACTCTGGACCAACAGTTAAGGAGATGGCATAAGAGCTACCTAGGCCTTTGCATGTGTATGACAGTTGTGAAACTTTCTCTATTTGTAAGGCTCTTATTAGTGAGATCATATCCTGTCCCTGGAGCTCAGCCGGCTTTCAGCAACCTGTTGCCCATGGTGGGGTACCTTGCCCTACCTTTGTGCAGAGGGAGGGTGTCACCTCAACATGATGTGCCATGCCCTGTCCAAGCACATAGGAGGCCTGCCCTTTCTGAATAGAGATGAAGGTGGAGTGATTGGGGAGGGGGTAGATGCAAATTGGTAAGTGTAGCAGCAGAAGAGGAGGGAGGGGACCTGTGACTGGTATTTAAAATAGATGGAAACAATGTTAGTTATATAATTAATTATGTGTTTGTTTGTTGGTTTGATGTAGACAGGGTTTCACTATATGCTCTGGGCCTCCTGGAAGTCAGAGATCAGTCTTCCTCTTCCTCACGAGTTCTCAGATTAAAGGCATGAACAACTATGGCTGGTCTACTTACCCTTTCTAACTGACAGTTTAAACACTTCTATGGAACTAAATTTCAGTTTGTTATCATCAATTTGGGCACAGGTGTTAGAAAAATATTTATACTAATGTGTCACTGAATGTTCAATTCTACAGTGACACAGGTTCAATATGTCTCCAAACATTTTACTTCCCCTTTGGATTTTATAATGCCTTTTAGTAAGAATACCAGCTCATGCTACATGACCAGTTGCAGATATGAGGCTCATAATTGAGACGGGTGTTATTTGAATTTGTTAGTAATGTGGTTGAGCAGGTATCTGTGTTTTCTTTCCTCCATTTCTCTAAGTGATGTCCACTAATGTTATATCATATGTAAGTTTGAGATAGAAAAATAATGATCCTCAGTACACATGATCACCTCTTCTAAATGGATAATGCCTTTGTGGTAGTAAAAAGTTCTATCATGTTTAGAGATAACTCTGACATGTTAATTGTTTCATATGGAAAGAAAAAATGACATAAAGATATAGGACTTCTATCCTGCTTGCAAATGATATACATCTGGTCACTATTTTAGATGTCAACATGACTATATCTGAAAGTAATTAAAACCTCCCAAATGCTATGCTCACCTGGGAGGGCTTGTGCTTAATTAAATTAATTGAATTGAGAAGAGTGGTGATATGTTTCTTATGATGTAATAAAGCTTTCCTGAGAGTTTAGGATACAAAGCCAACCACAATAGTTAGCTATAGTATCTAGGCAGAATTAAGAATTAAGAATCTGAATTAAGAGGTAGACAGATCTCTGTTAGTTCAAGGTCACAAAGTCTATAGAAAATTGATCCAGTCCTAAAAGAAACAGCTCACATAAAAGTGATCTCAGCATCTGGGATCATATGCCTTTAATCCCAGAACTACTGAGGTGAAGAAAGGAGTTATATGGCTGGGTAGAGACGGGAATAAAGGCAGGAGGGACAGGAACTGAGAGCCTTTGCTTCTGAGGATATGCAGAGAGAGGATTTCCATTGTAGCCTGGTAGAGCCAAGATATACTGTCATGGCTGCTTTGGTTCTCTGATCTTCATCTTCAAGTTTGAACCTCAATATTTGTCTCTGGGTACTTATTTTTCCTGATACAAGGAGGATCCACTACTAATCTGTAACTTTCTGTTGGTAAGACACATTTTGGTCCATATTTTTGTAATGGGAATCTGGTTCACATGTAGTGATATATTATTTATGATTTGTATTAAGCTTGACCAATTATACAGAAAGCAAAGTCAGCCACCAGTCTTAGAAGCCAAACTCAAACCTTTATCCCAGCAGCTAACAACTAGGAGGTGGTGGTACACACCTTTTAATCCTAGGACTCAGGATTAAGAGATATAGGGATCTCTGTGTGTCCAAGGCCACTGAGATCTGCACAAGAGTAAATAGGTCGAAATCCAAGCCTTTAACACCAACATTAGGGAAGTATGTAAGGCAGCAACTAGGTCTCATAGAGGCATTCCTTGTCAGGAAACACTGAGGAGAGGCAGCTCTTTGTGACTTGGTGAGAGTTCCTAGTGCATGATTCTGTCCAGTCAGCCTGAAATACGGGTAAGAGCTGTTAGCCAGTTGCTTAGCTTTTCTGATATTCTACTTGAGGTCCCAACCCCAATATCTGTCTCTGGGTCATTTATTTATTCGTGTTGCAAACTGGCACCCAATGTTAAAGTATGAAATCAACAAAAAGCTTCTTTTGAGGCACAGGGCCCAGGCTCCACCCAAGCCTGAGAAGCAGCCTAGACCCCACCCTAAGTCCCTCATGCCTGAGTCCCCGTCTGAACAGTTAGGATTCCTCCTCAAAACTTTGTGCAAGTGTGGGCTTTTTGGGGTTGTAGATTTTCTAAAGAGTTTTTGGCTGACACCAAACTCAAAAGGTTTTCAGGAGTTTTTCATAGAGCCTCTCTAGTTGGGCTGAAACGCTCAACTCAAGTCCACAAGATGGTTCTCCTATTAATCACAGCACATTGGCATTGCATGCAGATTTGGTAAGTTTATTGTGAATTGTTAAAGGAAGGGATTGGTTAAAAAACAGTTTTGTCCCCACACTGAACAAGTGAAATCACCATTAAAAAGAATAAAATTTGATCTGGAACTTGAAGGTCTAATCGACTTAACCAGATTTGATATAGTGTTAATTGCTATTTTGATAATTTTGATAATCTTTGTTGTCCGTTTGGTAATTCTTGATGCCCATGCTGGATTACTGTGCCCAGCCATTATAAAGAGGGAGGGTCCTATTTCAAGGTGATGTGTCATGTTTCGATCAAGCATATAGGAGGCCTGCCCCTGTCTGTGTGGAGATGAAGGCAGAGTGCATGGGGAGGGGGTGGATGAAAATTGGTGAGAGGAAGCAGCAGAGGGGGAGGGGAGGGAAACTGGTAGGTATGTAAAATAAGTGAAACAATGTTAAGTAAATAAAACTAAATATAAAGTTACCATTATCTTATGTGTTTGTTTAAGACAGGGTCTCACAATAATGCTCTAGGACTTCTGGAAGTCAGAGATAATTCTGCCTCTTCTTCAGGTGTTCTGAGAATAAAGCACGAGCCACTATGGCTGGCCTACTTACCCTTTCTTAATGAGAGTTTAAACACATCTCTGTAACTCAACTGGACACAGGTGTTAGAAAATATTTATACTAAAGTATAACTGAAAGCACAATTTTATAGTGAAATATGTTCACTATTTCTCCAAACATCTTTCTTCCCTTTGGATTTTCTAATGTTTTTTAATTAGAATACCAGCTCTTGCTCCATGACCTATTGCAGAAATAAGGTGTACATTGAGAGTTATTTGTGAAGGGTCTGCACCCTCACTCAATCCCTACTTTGACAGCCATGACAAGCTACAGAAAATACATGTGGGTCAAAAGTGAACACAAACTCCAGACCCCAATAACTTCCTAGATACTTGATTCGTGGGAAGAGTTTGGCCAAAAAGGAAAATCCAGTGTAGAGCAAAACCTCCCTTGTAGTCTCCCAGATATAGTTCTGAAAACTACTGGTATCTAGGTACAACAGGCCACCTGTAAGTACCAAGCCAAATACAGAGAAACCATGGAATGTTCCCTCTCAGCACTGAACAATGATAATAGTGGGTACCCCGGTGTTACATGTAAAAACATGACTTTGAGAAATTCCCCGAATTGTTTCCAAATGTCAACCAATCAGAAACCAACCTGTAACTACTGATGAAATCCTGTAACTTTTGTCTTTACAACCTAGCAGTAGACCAGTAACTTCACTCCCTCCTCATGGGGTCCTTGTCTTGGTTGGAAAATAATAAAACCTGGCTTTTACAATTCAGTTCATCTGTCAACCTGGTGGTCTTTGGGGATCTTCGAGACTTGGGAACCATAATTTGTATTTGATAGGAATGTTATTGAACAGGTATTTATGTTTGCTTTCCTTCATTTCTATAAGTGATATCAGTTCATGTATTCACAATAGTTACATGTAAATTTGAGATATTAAAAGAATGCTCCTCCATTGACATGGTCACCTCTTCAAAAAGAATAATGCCTTTGTGGCCATAAAAGGACAAGTATTATCATGTTTATGCATAACTGTGAAACATTAGTTGTTTCAAGTGGAAGAAAAGATGACATAAGGAAACATGACATGTACCATGTTTGCAAATAATATACATCTGGTGACTATTTTAGTTGTCAACATGACTATATGTGAGGGTAACTAAAACCTCCCTAGTGCGAGGAACACCATGTAGGACTTGTGCTTAATTACATTAATTGAATTGGAAAGTGTGTTAATATATTACTTATGATGTAATAAAGCTTTCCTGAGGGTTTAGGATACAAAGCCAGCCACACTAGGTAGCTATGTAACCAAGAGAGTGGCAGTAAACACATTGAATCTCAGGACTCAGAATTAAGAGTAGAGAGAACTCTGTTAGTTCAAGGCCACAGTGGACTACAGGAAATGTTCCAGTTCTAAAGAAACAGATCACACAAAGGTGATCTCAGCACCTGGAAACATATGCCTTTAATCCCAGAACTACTCAGGTGAAGACAGGAGTTATATGGTCATGATGAGTAAAAGAAA